AATTGGCCGCAGAGGAAGAAGGTGAACCAGCACAACACAGTGCCACCCACCCCCAATCCTCTGAGCCGATCCAGAAGGATACCATAGTCGATGGTATTGAAAGCCGCTGAGAGGTCAAGTAGGGCAAGGATGGATGCACAACCCCCATCCTGCCCTTGCCAGAAATCATCCAAAAGCGCGACCAACCCTGTTTCCGTCTCATACCCAGGCCTGAATCCTGACAGAAAGGGATCCAAATAATCCGCTTCATCCAAGGTCTTCTGAAGCTGTTGCACAACCGCCTTCTCAATCACCTTCCCCAAAAAGGGGAGGTTAGATACTGGATGAAAATTGTCCAGTATAGTGGGGTCTAGTGATGGCCTCTTGAGGAGGGGGCGGACCAAGGCCTCCTTAAGAGGTGAGGGAACAACCCCTTCACTCAAAGATGCATTAACCATCACTAGAACCCACTTGCATGACACCCCCCCGGCTGATTTCACAAGCCAGGAGGGGCATGGATCTAAAGAGCAGGTGGCTGAACTCACAGCCCCAAGGACCCTGTCCACTATAGTTTTTTAAGTGTCATTGTCCAAAAGTTCTATTACATGTGACATTGTTAAAGTCATATAGTCAGAGATTATTTTAAAATGTGTCCATTTACACAGTGAAAGAGTGACCAATCTGTAAGAAACCTAGGTTAGAAGTCAGACCCTTAAGCAGAAATATTAAAAAATGAGATTATTTTAAAATGTGTCCATTTACACAGTGAAAGAGTGACCAATCTGTAAGAAACCTAGGTTAGAAGTCAGACCCTTAAGCAGAAATATTAAAAAATGAGCAAAAACAAAGTTTCCCTTGAGTTGAGCTCAACTCCCAGTGACTCAAGAACATATCTATTGTTTATATGGCAATAATGCCATTGCCTTTCCCATTGAATAAAATTATGACAATGGAAACAACTTGAGAGACAGGAAGTCCTTAGTAGATCTCAGGGAGTTTCAGTACTTCCACTCCTGCATGTTGAATGGGCTGGCAGGTGCACTTATGATTATAATTAAGGCAAGTAGACAAGGACTTGCCTAACCATAACATAATCTAAGTATTGCCATACTTAGATTGCCCTATGTTGTTTGCTTATTGCGGTTCCATAGAGTTGGAATGGTCCCTTCATTTTAACTGCAGCATAAACTCCAAGACAGGATCTTAGGACAAGGAATCCTATTTCTGAAGTTCTCTTATCCTTCTCTTTTAGGTGGTGAAAGCATGTAATGAAGGTGTTAGAAAGATGAGCCGCACAGAACAGATGATCAGCATCCAGAAGAAATTAGAATTTAAGATCAAGGTATAAATATAAGCTGGTAAATCATAATGAAAGAGAAGAGAATTGGGTTTTAAAGAACATGCAGAATTTGATGGAAGCAGATTATCTGAAAAATAGGATTTGGGGCTGTGGAAGAAAAGCCTCTTTGCTTGATGGAGATAAACTGTGATCTGGCAAATTTTGAGAAAAAATATGATTACAAGTGTTCTAGCTTTCACTAAGCAGAATATTATTTAGACCTTCTTTTCTTGGGTTACATTACAGAAGGACTGGTCAAATTGAAATGGATGACATTCATACTGAATAATGGATTGAGGATTCAAGTCTATCCTCTGCCATGGAAGTTCATTTAGCGATTTGGGGCCAGTCACTCTCCTTCAGCCCAACCTACCTCATAGGGTTTTTGTTGTGAGGAAAAATAGGAGAAAAGAATGCAATACAGTGGTACCTCGGTTCACGAACTTAATTCGTTCCGCGACTCTGGTCGCAAACCGAATCAAATTTTCCCATAAGGTTCAATGTAAATACGGTTAATCCATTCTGACCCCTACGACTTTGGTCGCCAACCAATTTTGGTCGCCAACCAAATCAAATTTTCCCATAAGGTTCAATGTAAATACGGTTAATCCATTCTGACCCCTACGACTTTGGTCGCCAACCAATTTTGGTCGCCAACCAAATCAAATTTTCCCATAAGGTTCAATGTAAATACGGTTAATCCATTCTGACCCCTACGACTTTGGTCGCCAACCAATTTTGGTCGCCAACCAAATCAAATTTTCCCATAAGGTTCAATGTAAATACGGTTAATCCGTTCTGAACCATATGTATTTTTTTTTAAACCACACAAATATGAAACAAAGTACAGTACAGTATGAAGAGAGAGAACACTAACCTTGCTTGACGCAACTTCTGGCGTGGAGGACAGGAAGGCGGGTGGGGAGGTGGTTATTGTTTGGAGGAAGAGCCCCCCCCCCTACAGGAAGCCACGCCCACGTGTCACTGCAGGGAAAATGGCCGCGGATCCTGTTCGTCACCTGATGCGGAGTTCACGAACGGAAGCAAAATTTTCCGAACGGTGCTGGTCGTGAACCGAATTGTTCGGTAACAGAAGCGT